CAGGTGCTGGGGACAGTCTTCTTCTGCCCGCTTGGCAGCTTCAGACGTGTGCGGCCCGTTTCGTGGTTGTGGGAGATGATGATGCAGTAGTCGCCCGAGGCGCGTGCGATGGTGCCGCGGTCGCCGACCTTCGCCTCCACGTTGCAAACGATGCACCCCTCCGTGATCTGGCCGAGGGGCAGGACATTGCCAATGGCAAGCGGTGCCTTCACGCCACAGAGGACGGACTGGCCAGTGAACATGCCCTCCGGCGCCACCATCAGCTCCTTTGCGCGGCGGTACTTGTACGGGTGGCGGAACTCCACGCGGGCGAGCGGGGCGCCACGGCCGGGCTCGTGCTCAATCGTCTTGACCACGCCACGCATGAAACCATGGCGCTCGGCGTAGTCGAGAATGCGGAGCTTGGCGGGGCCCAGGCGCTTGTGGCCGTGCACCTGGTAGACAGACCCGTTGCCCTTACGGCAGGTCAGCACAGTCTTTCCCATGGCTCTTTTTCTGACGGTCTGTGTGGTCCCTATGAGCGGCGGCAGAAGCAAGCAAAAAGGAAAGAAAAAGAGCCGTGGAAGAGGGAAAAGGAAAAGCGAGCTGCGAGGAACCAGTCAGGGTGGCGCCGTAAAGGGATAAAAGAGAGAGATACCGGCGAGGCGAAAATAAAAAAAACAAAGGCGTAGAAAATAATAATAATTATTATTATTATTAAAAGGGAGGGGGTGAGGCAAAACAGCTGAGGTGCACGTGAGAGGGCGGCCCCCCGCAAGACGGCGCCGTGTCGTGCGTATGTGTGCGTCTGCGTATGGCAGCAGCCGCGCCAAACAATGACCCGGCGGATCCCAAAACGGAGCGGAAACGCGGGGGGTGGCAGTGGAAGCGGAAGCGAAAAGCAAACTGGAGAGGTCCCCGCGACCCAACCTTCCCCCTCCCTCCCCACTGACCCATACGGCATACGCAGCGGCAGAGCATCCGGCACAAGTTTTTTTTTGTCACTTTTTTTTTTATTCTCTCTCTCTCTCTTTGTATTATTATTTTCGTTTCCTAATTGTTTTTCTATCGCGGTCCACTACTCACCCAACGGCGCCCCCTCCCCACTCACTTGCTGCGCTCGCATTCACCCCGAGCTCTGTCTCTTTTAGCGTCCGCCCTTTTGCTGCGTGGTTCCGTCCGTCGCCTTCCTCCCATGTCACTGGCTGCTGTTGCTGCCGCTGCTTCTTTCTTTTTATCCTTTGTTGTTGTTGTTTGCTTGTTTTTCCTTCGTTTTAATGGTAGACTACGCTGGATTGTTTTCCCGTTTCCCGGCAGCGTCGACGACGACGACGACGGTGAGGTCAGAAGGCCATGTCCTCCAGCCCAAACTCCTTCAAGAAGGGTTTCACGTCCTGCTGCCACGAAAGCTCAACGAGGTCGGTGCGGTCCATGAGGTTCAGCGTCATGCGAAGGAGGTCCCACAGGCCGCGGGTTGCCATCCGGGAGACCTCGCTCTGCGGATTTGTGCCCCCGGCCTGCAGAGCGATGGCCCGTGTGATCTCCTTTGCAGCGAGCGGGTACTGCGCCAGATTCGAGTACGACACCGCCATGTTGTACATGGCGCGCACGTAACCCGGGTTGATGTCAAGCGCGCGGTTGTACGCCTCGAGGGCCTCCTGCGGCTTGTTGCCGTTGGCAAGTGTCGCGCCGAGCCTGTTCCACATCTGCGGGTCGTCGGGGTTCAAGTCGACAGCGCGGCGGAAGTTCATGGCAGCCTCCTCGAAGCGACGCGAGAGGTTGTGCAGGACCCCGAGGCTGGCGTGCAGCTGCGGGTCATTGGGGTTCATCTCCACCGCGGCGTTTAGCAGGGCGCGACAGTCGCGGTACTCGCTCGGCGAGGCGTAGAAGTAGTTGTCATCCATCTCGTCCAGGTCTGCTTCAGCCTCCTCCCCCTCGTGCAGCGGCACCGAGCCGAGTGACTCGTACTGCGGCTGAGACAACAGCCAGGAGCGCAGCGCCTGTAGCGCCGCCTGCACGTTGTGCTCATTTGTGTGCGACACGGCAAGTGCCGCGTGAACGGCGATGTCTTTTGGGTTTAGCATGCGTGCGTGGTTCAGCGCAATGATGGCAAGGTTGTCCTTCTCGTTCTCTGCCTGCGTCTTGCCAAGCAGCCGCCAGCTCTCAATGTTTTCCGGCTCCTTTTGGCACACCGCCTCAAAAGCAAGTGCGGCCTCCGCCAGATTTGCCAGCTGCAGCATGGCGAGCCCCTCCTCCATCGGCTTGTCGTGGTACATGTACGGGTTGTTGGGCTCAAAGGGGTAGTCCGTGTCGTTCTGGGCGCGTTGCATGCGCTCCTGCATCTCGGCGTACTCCCTCGCCCACTCGTCCAAGTCGGCGTTGTGCTCAGCGCCGAAGTCATCCATCAGGGCCTCATCGCCACCATCCTGCAGGTAACCCTCCCGCTGTCGGTCGAGTCCATGTGGGCGCTGCCTCATGGGCTCAAAGACGCCTGGCGGGAGCCCCAGCGCCTCCGCAGTGGCCCACTCCTTCAAGTATGCCGTGTCCTCAGGCATATCCGGGTCGGGCCCAGGGCCCTGCACCACCTCCCCCGTCTCCTCATCGATGAGCAGCTCCTTGTTGCGGATCTGGTCCATAAACTTGTAAAACTCCGAACTGCGACCATGTTCCTCCATCGTTTGCTCTGGCTGCCCCTCAAGGGTAAAGACCTGCGCCTCAGTATAGTCCTGCGCCCACTCCGCATCCCGCAACTTTTCCACCCACCCACTGTCGCCCTGCTCCTGCTCCGTTGTGATGCTTGTCGCAGTGGCATCCTCCGTCTTTGCCGCGTTGGTTGCAGTCGGCATGGCAACTGTATTTCCCGCAAATGCCGTTGGGGCGTGCGCCATCATCGAAGGTGCTGCACCCATAAAGCCACCCATTCCAGCCCCGTACATCATCGGTCCCATCATCCCAGGTCCCATCATCCCAGGCGCATGAAGGTGATGATGCGGATGTGGCTGCTGCTGCTGCTGAGGGTGTCTCGCAGAAGATGTACGAAACGCCTCCTCCATCTGCTGTTGTTGAAGCATGAAAACCTCATTCTGCTGACGCCGCATCGCCACCTGCTGAGGGTGCTGCTGCTGCTGGTGCGCAACGAACTGATGCGTCCAGTCGGGCGCGTGCCCCGTCGGTGACTGCACCCGCATCATCTCGTTCATGAGGACGTCCTGCTCGGGGTTGCCGGTAGGGCCTACCCCGACGCCGCCGTGCATGTGGAAGGCATCCTTTGCGAGCTGCTGCCCCAGCGCCGCACCGGTGCCGCAGTCCATCCTCCACCGCTGTGGTGTGCTGTGTTTTTGCTACTCCGCCTCACTGGGAACGTTGGCCCGCCGTGCTCGTTACCCAAACAAACCCCAGGTAACGCGCTGAATGTTAGGAGCTGCAACTGAGACAAGCCCGCCGTAACGACTCCGCCCGTTTCTCGCCGCTGCTCGTCTTTGAAATATTCGTACACCCCCCCCCCCTTCCTTCTCCTCCCTCCCTTCTTGCTATATATATATATATATATATATAACCCGTAGTCTTCCTACTGGTAGCAGTGCACGGATGTGTTTGGTGGGGCGTGACTTTCCCTTTTTTATATAATGCTTGCCAGGTTGGCTTTGCCGCCGCATGCACGCAAGAGCGGGATGAGGGCAGCACAAAGGCGTTGCCAAGAAAAGCCCAAGCAGGGAAAAACAAACCCCAAAGAAGAAAAACAAGAAAAAGTTTGTAGTGAAATGACACGTGCAGGCACGCGCCCTCTACATGCAGCCTCCACTGATGTGCCGCCATGTACAGGCAGAAGGGCCAGCATGTGGTGAGGCCCCCGCACACATACACGCACGCAGTGCGAAATCGGGAGACTGCATGTGCGTCGGAACGTGGAAGTAACACGGGGACAAACATGTCTTGTTTACCGCCTCTGATCCCCACCCTCATTTTCAAAAACAAAAACAAACCAAATCAACCGATCAAAAAAAAAAAAACGGCACAGCCTTGGTTGCAGGGCCCACATGCACCCACCCACTCACCCACCCACCCAGCCAGCCACACGCACTCAGCCCCATGCATGACTGTGTGTGGACGCCCTCTCAACCTTCGCGAGCTCACCCGATTCCTTCCTTCACCGTCGTCTTTTTCTCATGGTATCCGAGCATTTATGCACCCTTCACGTTGTTTATATACACATGTAGACTTGTAATCAACATGAGTAAGCTTTTATTTTGTTTGTTAATTTGTTTGTTGTTCTTTTTTTCCCTGCGTATTTCATTCCCGTTCCTCCCGAACTCCCTCTGCTGCCTACAAAACGGTGCCGACGTTTCACACTTACACCCACAGTACGATATTCCTACTGTTCTGTTACATTAGACTAAGACCCTTGTTGCATTGGGTGTCACGAATGCATAGGCGCAGATCCCGCGTGTCTCCGTACATTTTGTTTCGTTTCTTGTTTTTTTTCGTAGTACCTCATTTAGTGCACTGAATATGTTGAGTGGTAAGGAGAAAGCAAATTCATCTCATCATTTTAATTTTTCCTTTTCCTTTTGTTTTGTTTTGTTTTTGTTTCCGGTTTTGTTTTTGTTTCCGGTTTTGTTTTTGTTTCCGGTTTTGTTTTGTTTTTCTTTCGTTGCTGTTGTTGTTTTTTTTTATCTTCTTTTTTGTTTTTGCTTTTTTTTGTTTTTTTTTCCGGCTTGATCATTTTGCTTGTTTGTTTTGTTGTGCGTTTCTTGATTCGTTATGGCGTCCCGCCCTGCGCGCGGCAGACGCGGCCCACGGCGCGTGTACACCGGTGCTCAGTAGCTCAGGTCATAGCTGTCGACGAGCTCACGCAGCCACCGCTGGGCCTCCGCGAGCGGCTTCGTGCCATAGCGGCTGCTGCCGCGTCCGCGGATGTTGACTGTCTGCGCCTCCGCCTCCGCATGGCCAACGACGAAGATGAAGTTGTACCGGGCGAGCTCCGCGTTGCGGATCTTCTTGTCCAGCGTCGCGGTGCCGTTGTCGACATCAGCGTAAAAGCCGTCGGCGTGAAGAACATCGCGCACCTTCGCGGCGTAGGCGGCATTCTCAGGTGACACCGGCACCACAACCACCTGCCGCGGGCTGAGCCACAGCGGCCAGTCCCCGCCGTAGTGCTCGCACAGAATGGCGATGCAGCGCTCGAGCGAGCCGAAGATGGCGCGGTGGATCATCACAGGACGCGCCTGGTTGGCGTCCAAACGGCGGTCAAGGCAGAGCTCCCGGGCGGCCATGTCGTAGGAGGAGAGCGGTTCACTCGCCGCCGCGGGCTGCTCCTCCGCCGCAGCGTCCGCCCCTGACTCCCCTGCGGCGTTGGGGTCCGTGTGGTGTTCCTGTTTTCCCTCTGCGAGATCCGCTGTCGGTGCTGCGGCGCCGCCTTCGCCCGCTGCAGTTGGCAGCGTGTACTTGAGACCAAAGCGTTGCGGCAGGTTGAAGTCCAGCTGCACTGTGGCGCACTGGTGGCGGCGGCGCAGCGCGTCCTCCACGACGATATCTATCTTTGGTCCGTAGAAGGCGCCGTCACCGGTGTTTTCCTCCCATGCCTCGGCATGCGTCGGCCCCTTCCAACCGTCATCGCCATCGCCGTCGTTCCGCTTCTTCATCAGGGCGCGGAATTTCTTGATGCTATCCTTTCGCCCGTCAAACGTGAAAGTAGCGCCCTCCTTGAACGGGTCAGGCAGATGTTCGGGGATGCCGCAGAAGCTGTTGAGTGCCGCCCGCAGGTACGACTCAGCCTGGTCCCACACTTCCTCTGAGCCAAGCTTGTTCTCCGGGCGGGTGGCGTGTTTGAGGAAAAACTTGAACCCAAGTATGCGGTAAACGTCGTTGAGGAAGATGAGTGCGCCCTGAATCTCCTCCTGCAGCTGATCCATGCGGCAAAAGATGTGGGCATCATCCTGCTGAAAGCGGCGTACCCGCGTGAGGCCGGTGAGGGCGCCGCTCAGTTCGTTACGGTGCAAAACGCCAAAGTCAGCGTAGCGGATGGGTAGTTCCTTGTACGAGTGCTGCTGCATGGCAAACATGATGCAGTGACCGGGGCAATTCATCGGCTTCATCCCGTGATCCTCCTTCTCCACTACGATGCGGAACATGTTTTCTGCATACTTGTCCCAGTGGCCCGAGACCATCCAGAGCTTTGAGGAAAACATGTTGGGCGACACGACCTCCTCAAAGCCGCGGCGGCGGTACTGCTTGCGCTGGAACTCCACCAGAGTGTTGTAGATGCGCGCGCCGTGCGGGAGCCAAAAAGCGCTGCCGGGTGACACCTCGTGAAAGCCGAACAGCTGCTGCTGCCGGCCGATGTTTCGATGATCACGGCGTGCAGCCTCCTCTTGCAGCATCTTCCACTCCGTCAGCATCGTCTGCTTTGGAAAGGAGATACCGTACACCCGCTGCAGCACCGCGTTCTCGGCCTTCCCCTCAAAGTAGGAGGAGGAGTTCTTTGTCACAGCGAAGGCCTTCACACGGCCGGTGTCCGGCAAATGCGGACCGCGGCAGGGATCAATCAGGTGACCGCAGCGGTAGACTGTGCAAAATCCGTTCTCGGGCACCTTGCTTGCAAGGATCTTGCTCTTAAACTCCGTGTAACCAAACAAGCGCAGCGCATCGGCCTTTGAGATGGTGAGGCGCTGATACGGCATCTTTTGCTTTATGAGCTCCTGCATAGCAGCCTCAATTGACGCGTAGTCTGACTCCGACAGCGGCCGGCCCGTGTCACCCTCGTAGAAGAAGCCACCGTCCTCCAGCGCGGGGCCAACGGAAAGCCGGGTGTGGAAGACCCGCTCGAGGGCGTAGCCAAGCACGTGGGAGGAGCTGTGCCAGAAGACGTGCTTGGCCTCGGCATCGTCCCAGTCGAGGAGCTCCAGTGTGGCGTCGCCTTCGAAGGGGCGAGTGAGATCCCACAGCTCGTCGTTCACGCGTGCCACGATCACCTTCTCGGGCAGCGAGTTGGACAGCCTCTTAGCAATCTCTAGTGGCGTCGTCAGCCAGCTCACGGCGGAGTGTTGTTTGCCGTCCGGCAGCGTGACGGTAATGGGCACCTGCATGGAGTTGTACTTAGCCTCCTGCGCCGCAAACAACTCGTCAAACAATGCGTCACGGGCCTTCCAAAATTCCGGTGGCTGCAGGGAGTTGAGGTCGACTGTTCCAGCGCCTCCAGAGGCGTTCGCCCCCTTCTTCCCGCCAGCAGCCCCAGTCGTGACTGTCGTCATGTGTGCTCGTGCGAAATGGCCGGCGGATGAAATGTGATGTGCCCAGGTAATGGTCAGGGGCCGCAGCAGGGACACAACGTGGTGGTGTAGTCGAAGCGTGGCTCTCTCTTCTTCTCTCTACCTTACAGAAGACGGGGCAGGGGCAAAGGAAGAGAAGAATGAGGAGGAGGCAGTAATGCTTGGCGGCGGTGGCAATGGCACCCCCAACCGCAGAGACCAAAAAAAAAAAAGAAATGAAGCAAAACAAAACAAAACAAAACAAAACGGCAGCAAAACACCAGTCGCAGCGGACCCAAAAAGTGGCCAGCACTTCCCCCTCTTTGTGTTTCTTTGCTGTTGTTGTTTCCTTTTTTTTTAAACGTCTGGGCGCGCGCCCCCTCCGTGTGTATGTGTGTGCCCCTTTTCCATCCCCTTCGCAGCGGCGGCAAGTGCGGGCGAGACAGGTAAAGCGAGGGCCGCGGCACGCACAGACAGAAAAAGAGTGGGTGCAGACGTCAGCACTGCCTCTTCGGCCGCTTCTTCACCGCCCCAAGGGGAGTGTCACCTGCAGTAGCAGCAGCAGCAGCGGCAGCAGACGGAGGCGGCAACGAGGCGCTCGCATCGCGCAACGTCCTCGCAGACGCCCTTCCCTCACGCCGCTCGGCCCTCACAGGACCTTCGGGTTCACGTTGTTTCCGCTCCGGCGCCCCCTCCTCGCCGCGTGGGCGTTTGCGCCGCATTGTTGCAAGCACGGCGGCGCGGTAGGCCTCATTGATGGCGCGCTCTGTGCCACGTGCCTCCGCCTCACGCTGGCGCCGTGTACGCAGGGCCCCCTCCCTCTCCTCGAGCAGTGTGTCCCATGTGAAGTCGTCAAGGAACTTCACGGTCCACAGCTGGCCGTGGCACTTGCGCCGTCGCTTGCATGCGACGGCGGTCCCGTTCATCGCCGCCGCTGCCCGTCGCGCGTCCGCAGCATGCGCAAACTCCAAGTAGCCGTTCATGAACTGCAGCGGCAACAGGGGGCCGCCGGGGCGCCTCTCCTTCTTTGGAAATGGCGTAAACCTCTGTCGCAGGATTGTCCCAAACTCGCTGAAGTGCATGCGAACCTCCTGCGGCCGCATGTCGCGCGGGATGGTCGAGAAAAACACTACCCCGCGCTGCGCGGGGGGCACGTAGTCATCGTCGTGGCTGCCGCCGTCGCTCGGCATCGCTGACACGTGGAGGAAAAACAAAAAAAGAGAGGATGACACCGAAAAAAAAGAGAAAAAAAAACGAAGTGCAGCGGCAGCAGACACTTTACTGCGGTGCGGGGGTACCGGCGGCAAACACGCACACAATATACTTACAGAAAGAAAGAAAAAGGCACAAGCACCATACGCAAGTGCAGTGAAACTGAGCTACAGCGCTACTTCACGAACGATGTGCGACACGTGTGGGTTGCACCGGCTCGCCCACCGGCATCCACGCGCGCTGCACGCCATCCTCCCCTCCCGCACTCTCCTCGCCTCGCTCTCGTTCTGAGCAAAAGAGAAAAAAAAAGCCACCTGTGAACACAAACACAAAGTGGAAGAAAAAAAAAGGCAACGGTGCGGGGCAAAAGACAAAACAAAAAAGAGAAGCATAAAAAGGGCAGTACTCCTTTTATTGGGTATCTCCGTGTTTGTTGGGAACGTCTTCGTTCGCCTCTGGTTTCCTCCTCCACCTCTCCCTCTGCTTCTTAGGTTCCTGTCGGCCCTGCCCACCCAAACTGCAGCCCTGTTGTAACCCCGGCAGCGACAAAGATTGGCTCATACATGCAGATGCGCGTGTGTGGGCACACTGGTTCCATCCCTCCTGCTGCAGCTGCTGCTGCTGCCGCCGCAGTGTGGATCGCGATGTCTGTGTCTCCCCCGCGCGACACGCCTCCCCTAAACGCCTGGAGTGGCGTCCCGGGGCCCCTGACTGTGACAGTCGGAGTGGTGGCTGTACGATTTCCGTGCCTACGTCGTGCCACGAGCTCTCGTCCGCCAGTATGGCGAGGAGTTGCTCCTTCAGGTACTGCCGCACGTCAAGGACCTCCGTCGCGAGGAAGGGCGTCATATCATCGTAGTGCACCGGCGCCATGTAGAGAAGAAAGAGGCAGATGGAGTTGCACTCGGGCGAAAAGGGTTTCGCCGCACTGGTGGCCCACCCCGCTTTCTGTGCCGCTTGAGCGGGGGGAACCGCAATGGAACCTGAGGTTCCCAGATTCTCGTGCTGAAACACCAGGTGCCAGCGTGCCACGTCGCTCGTAATGACGTGAATATTCACGTGGAAGCACCGCGCCGCTGCGTTGAGGCACAACTCATCACCCCACACGCCGTTCTGCTGCATGTGGTGCAGGTACTCCTGCCACTCCGCCTCGCCGTCGAAGAGGACGCTATAGCTCTCGGCCCGCTGCCGCATGTAATCCACGACGAGGCGACGTAGCAGCATGTGGTTCTTGGCGTGCCCAAAGAGCTGATTCGTCAGGCAGCGGAAGAGGCAGTTGCCATCTGACACCTGCTTGTTCACCTGCAGAGACCCCAGCTGCTGCAGACGCAGTGCGAGGCGCCCCTTTGCTTTCTCAATCTCCGCCTGTCGTGCCTTCTCTGCAATTGTCTCAGCGTCATTGAAGCCAAACTCCACGCCTGTGTCCGCCCCCATCGTGCTATTCCGCTGCATCATCGCGCGGTGTGACTCCATCGCCTCCAGCGGGGTGTTGTACGCCCCGCAGGTGGAGCAGACGCGCAGCCCCTCGCTGGTGCGGCAAGACTCCTGCTCCGCCGTACACCGTGAGCAGGCCCACATGAAAGGTTGACGACAATTGTAGCACCTGTCACCGTCCACGGAGTTAAAGATGCCGCATGCGGCGCAGTTCCAGACTATATGCAGCTCCTTCGTGTTGCTGCATCTTGACACTCGCCCCTCGCCAAAACGACACGTTGTGCGACAGAGGGGGCACATGATGATGCCAGCATGGTGAAAATGGCATGCCCTACAGAACCTTTCGGTGCCTCTATTCATCACGGCGCACTGGGGACAATGCCAGAGGTCATCACCGAGAAACGCGGAACTCTCGGCGGGCAGCGACCGTCTCTCCTCCGTGCTCTGCTTCGTGGGGTGCCGCGTGACGGCCCTACGCATAGCAAAGTGGGCCTGCAACGGGTCCTCCACAGAGACGGTGTCGCGGCAGCCCCCATACTGTATCGTCTTCCCCTGTAATACAGAAGTTTCACTCGTCCGCAGTGGTTCCGCGGGCAGGGTGGGCTCGATCTTTGGAAGCTTCCGGATCTTTGCAACAAAGACGGCATCGCTCCTGCGCCGCTCCGGGGTGTCGAGGCGGGAAATCACGCACGTACGGATCACTAGCCGCATGCAAGAGAAGCAAAGAACAAATTCCTCCGCGAGGTGGTAGTTGGCCTGCTTGGCGCAAAGCCAGCAGAACCCACTTTCCATGTTGCTGAAGTCATCCCCCCTGCCGCCGTCATCGTCGTCTTCCACGGGGGGGGCGCCGCTTCGACAAAATCCGGTGGTTGGGTGAACGGGCCGCTTTTTCGCCTGGGTAACCACCTCCAACGGCGGCGACAACGGCGTGACTGTGGGCAACTGCAACGGTGGGGGTTCCAGTCGCTCGCGCGGCGGTCGTGCAGTATTCTGGCTACCCCCACCGCCAGCCTCCCGCTGGAGCTTCGCCCGCACCATCATCGCGAGGTTCTGCATCCCCCACCCACACACGCACACGCAACTGGCACGTACAGCTTCCCAACAAACGCAAATATATATTTATATACACACGCCCCTTCGCAGGTGCTATTTCCCTTTTCGCCCGCTCTTTTTTCTTGTTTGTTCGTTGTAGAGTGCTGGGGCCACACTACCCGCCCATGCGCACATGTACACGTGCAAGAAAGAGAAAGATAAGAAAAAAAAAGGGCATGCTTCGGGAGCGGCGGCGCAGGCGTGCCGCAGCTGGAGGTATGCACACCTCCATATAAGAGAAAGAAAGGGGGACGGAGAGCCAGTCAGGCAGGCAAAGGTGAGGTGTGGGGCCCACAAGATGTAACGCGCGAAGAGCGACGGCGCATTCACACAAACAAACTCCACGCCATAAAAAAAAAAACAACCACCAACAAGCGACACGCACACACAACAACCGAACCAAACAAACATCCAGACGGATACATCCACAGTTTGAAGAAAAACCTAAAAAAGAACGAAAACAAAACAAAAAAAAAACCATGTCGGCTTGCACTTTCACGCTGATTCCCGCTACATGTGCGCCCTCAGTGATGTGATGTATCCGCGTGTAATGTGTTGTCCAGTCGCCCCCGCCCCTTGTTAGTTGCACGCGTGTCACTCCTTCCCCCCCCCCCTTCCGTCACTCTTGCGCCTGTATCAACTCCACGCACATGCGGGCACGCAACTGCCAAGTTTCACATCAGTATGCATGCAGTGCCCCTGATATCACTCTTACGCCCCCCCCCCCCCATGCATAGATTGGGGAAGGGAGGCGTGCATCCATTACTTTCCTCTAAATTGCCCACAACATTGCCTCTAAATCCCGCCCGGGCTCCTACTTTTCTATTGTACTATTTCTTTTTTCTTATATATATATATATATTTCCTTTTCCGTCCTCCACTCGTTCCCCTAGTCTCTCTATTTATCCCGTTTTGCGTCGGATTTGTTATTAATAAATTGCTGTTTTTTTTTCTCCTTTTCTTTTCCTCCTCACTCTTTTCTCCCAGTTCATTCTCTCTCTCTCTGATCCTTCTCCGCGGTGTGTTTCTGCTGCTCCCCCTCATCCACAGCAAGCCGGACACACAGATACACACAGAAGCAAATAGGGAGAGAGATGCATACGCACACTACCACGCAGAAGCAGGGAATCCTGTAAAGGGGCTTCTCGTCTTCTCCCTCGCCCTCCTACGTACCGCGTCCGCTGGCCTAGTACCAGTACTTGTATGACCAGTGCTGCGTCCAGTCGTAGCCAGGAATGTTGGCGCAGTAGCCAAGGTAGCTGTACACCGGCTTGCGGCTGTAAAAGTAGTGCTGCAGCACCTCCTGCACGTTGGTCGGGGTCACGTCGTCGATGCGGCCGTACATCTCCGTCAGCGGAATACGGCGGCCGTACTGCAGGACCTGCCTGCCAATGTCCTCGGCGGAGTTGCTGCTGCCGTCCATGTTGAAGAGGAGCTGAGACTTGAGGTTTACCTTGGCCTGCTCAAGCTCGTTCTGGTGCAGCATTTTTTGGCAAATGCGGCACCACTCCGCCATAGTGTACTGGAAGACCTCAATCATGGCACCTGCGTCGCCTGGGCCACTCTGCGCCGGACGACCCACAATGTACATGCCGCACAGACCCGTCTCCTTGTACTGCTGCAGAAAGGGATTCGCAATCTCGATGCACTTCTCGTTAAAGTGCGTGTTCGTCGGGGTGCTGTGGTCGAGGGAGGAGAACGTCTTCAGTACGCGATGCATCGCGTGCTGCCCCAACTCGTGCTGTGAGCGGTGAAACGGGCCGGGAATCTCACACGCAAGGGCCAACGGCAGGGAGTCCCCGCAGGTCGCCCCACACGTTTCGAAGCCCCAGGCGATGTGAACGGTCTTATAGCGCAGGTTCCACAACTTGTACTCGCCGCCAATGAAGCGCGCCTCCGGAAGGGAGACCGCCTTTGCGGGGGGTGGTTCGAGATCACCAAAGTGGCTGTTGGCAGCGCGCTCCAGGGTAGTGTGTTCAACCGCGCCGCTGCCAACGACAACCACGCGGTTCGCGTTGAGGACGCTGGTGCGGTACGACCTGAGCTGCTCCGCCGTCAGCTGTTCGACGCCGGCCTCCGTGCCGTATAGGGGCGTGCCAAGGCCGTGGGAGGTGCTATCAAAGGCGCAGCGGTACAGGTTGTCCATGCAAATGTCGTCCGGCCGCTGTTCAAACTCGTGCTGCTCCTGCAGCACGGCCCGCTTCGCGGCCTGAAGGTCCTCATCGGTGCAGCGGGCATTACGCACCACGTCTGCAAGTAGACCAACGGCCCGCTCTGTGTTCTGCTTCGCCACACGCATGTACAGATGGGTCTGTTCGCGGCCCACCTGCACGCTGATTTGCCCACCCAGCTCATCGAGCGCCTTGGCAATCCGCGACCCCGTCTGGTTTGTCGTTCCGAGCAGCCCGCACTTTTGCAGCACGCGCGCGGTCCCCGCGTACTGCGCCGGCTCGTGGCGCGTGCCCGCGTCGAGCCACACCCCAACGGTGGCGATTGTCGCGAGGGGGTTCTCCTCGCACGCCACCCGCACACCCTTCCCGACGGTGCTGAGGTTGGTGGGAGGAATTTTCGCAATCACCTCCTGCAGCGCCTGCGTCGTCGCATGGTTGGATGCCGGCCGTGCGCGCTGCACAAGTGTGGAGAAGCTGACAGACATCTCGCCTGCCTTGCTGCCTCCACTCCTGGTTGGCTTTTGCTGCTGTTGTTGTTGTTCTGGTTTGCTGTTGCTGTGTGTTGCCGTTCCGTGTTCGCCTCTACAATGCGCAAAGGTGCGCAGTTCTCACCTCGCGCGCAGTCAACCAGGTCCACGCGGGTAGGCAGGTGAGTTTGGGAGAGAAAGAGGAGGAGAGACAACGAGAGAGCGTGCGGAGGAAACGGCAAAAACAAAAAAAATGGGATGAACAGAGAGGCGACGGCCGATGACGGGAGGTGCATAAAAATAAAGAAGAAGCAGAGGCAGAGGCAGAGGCAGAGAGGGAACAGGCAAGAATCCAAAGCAAACAATAAAAAAAAAAGGTTTAACACAAAATAAGAGACCAACAAAACGACGACAGTGGCGGGAAAACCAACACGCACCGTCACTCCCTCAAACCCCTCCGGCCGCCGCTCCCCCCGTGGCGGGGGGCAATGAATCTCCTGCACTCACATGGCGCCCCCAAAGGAAGGAGCGAAGGCACGCACGGACAGACAGAGAGGGAAATACAGCCGTCACCACAACACGACGGGCGTGCAGCTGCAGATGTGGGTGCCGCGCCCTGCGGCTGCACCGGTGAGAGGGTGCAAGTGTAAAAAAAAAAGTTTGCACCTGCGCGGGGGTGGACTTGTACGGGAGACAACAAGCCCAATTTCATCCCGGCATCTACAAAGCAATACCAAAAAAAAAGAAGAAAAAAAAAACACACGCCTAACGTGCCATCCAAACGCTGAAAGTAAACATACAAGAAATGTCATATATATATGTATATATTATGCGTATATTATATATATATATATATATATACATGCATACACGCAGGGGGAAAGAGTTATACACCCTTACAAACACATGCACACACACGCACCCGGGCAGCAAGTGAGTATACTAGATGCGGGGCAAGAGTGATGAAAAAAAAAACAAACGGTGGCAGGCTCAAGCTGCAACAACTGAGAGCAGACAAATGACGAGGGAGGTGTGAAAGAGAGCGCGGGAAGAGGAGAAGAGGAGAGGGAAGAGCAACCAATAACCAACAACCAATAACAAAACAAAACAAGCAAATAAACCACAGCCGTTTATTTGCTTCCTTCACATCGTCCCCCTTTCCTGCACGCCCACCCCATCACCTCTCGCTCGCTCGGTGAAGTTACATGCATATATATATGTGCCTGTGTGCGCGTGCTCCAGTGAGAAAATGGGGATGATGCACCTTTGTGTGCAGGTGGACGTGCACATACAGCGCGTGTGCATCGTTCGCGTGTGTTGTGGGCGTGCCTCACTTGAGCAGAGAAGGCCCTGTCAGCCTGCTGTGCCGCTTCACCGACTCCGCCCCGGCTCGGAACTGGTAGCGCAGCTCTGCATGCTCCTTCTTCCACTCGGCCTCCACCGCACTCGCGCACCTAACCGCCTCCTTCTCCAGGTGCCTCATAGTGTGTTGTAGCGCCTTCAACTCCCTCGCTTCGGCCTCGGCGGTGCGGGCCAGACCCCTGTACGTGCGGCCAATGTCTGTCAAGACGATCATGCAGTCTCCCTGCAGCTTCTTCCGCGCCTTCGCCTCCTCGGTGGCAAAGGATTTCGCTATTTTCCCCTTCAAGCGCACGTGTCCGTTCAGCTGCTCCTCCCACCCGCCGGCCTCGCTCTCATGCTGCGCGTTGTGGCCTTCCGCCTGCTGGTGGGGGCCCTCGTCGCCCACACCCGCCTCTATCACCTCCCCCGCCTCGGCGACCTGCGGCTGGTCCGCCGTCTCGTACTCCACCACGGCGGGATCCACCTGGTGGGTCTCGCCGTCCGCCGTTGTGTACTGGTAGTAGTGGCACTCCTCAGCGCAATTATCCACCCGCTTCTCCGCCTCAGCTTCCAGCGTCGCGTCAGTGAAGCTATCGTAGTAAGGTTCGTGGAGCGTGTTGCGGTCGACGGGCGTCGCGTGGCGGCCACGCGACGACCACATGTGTTTAAACCGCTGCAGCAGCTTCGACCCGTTGGCGGAACTGAGATGAAAAAAGCCTGAGGACATCTTCTTGGAACAGCCTCCGCTCCCACTGTTCCTGAAGACGCTACCTGAGGAGGCCTCATCTGTCGAGACTGTGTTGACGGAGCTCTGCTGCAGTGCGGCGGCGTCTCTTGCCGAGGTGGTGCGGGAGTGGTGCGTCAGAATGTGCTGCGGCACCCCCGCGGCGGGGAGGAGCGGCGAGTCCGGTGACGCTTTTGTCGCAAACGGAGCGCTCATACTGTACATACACGAGCACTTATGGCTATGCACGTATATAATATATATATATATATATATATATAATTATTTTAGTTTTCTTTTCTTGTAGTTTTCGTTTCTTTCAATTTTTTCCTACAAAAGAGCGGCGTGTAGCCTTCTGTTTTAACGTGCACTAGGGCGAGAGGCAGAGAGGGAGATTGATAGAGCGTTGAAAAACAAAACATGCGCGAGCGCTGTCACGGCTTTGCAAGCGGACAAAAAAAAGGACCGAGGGATTCCTTCAAAGACGACTTCCTCAAAGCGGTCGTGCGCAGTCAACGACTTCATAGGAATCTGGTGGATGTACACGGTGACAACCTGCCGCGCTCGCCTGGTTGCACTCACCAGAGCGGTCCGCTGCCTCTAAGCATCTGGAGCCGCGCCTGCCTGCACCGGGCGGCACCTGATGCCACTGGCGACGTGACGCCTTGAGGCGGCATGGCAGCCATCGCCGTCGGGTCGCGGAAGAGTTGCACGTGCTGCTGCATCGCAGCGCAGGTGCCGCCCGGTGCCGTTCGCCGCCCTGCAAACAGGAGACTTGGGCCGTCCGTGATGAGTGCGGCGCCCCCCTCGAGGTGGCAAGTGACAGCCCGCGTGGTGTTTGCGCTGCTTGCGTGGGACCGCTGAGTGTCGCACCACGACCGATCACTCTGCACCGCGACACCGCCAGCCATGACTGGCCGTGTGGAGGGGACAGCAGAGAACTCTATTTTCGGCCTCGGCATCGGCACCTCGACCTCGCCCCGACGCCCCGCGTACATCTGCGGCGACGACACGAAGCAGCTGTCACTGCTGCGACTGCGGCTGCAGCTGCTCCGCGCCTGTGGGCCCCTGCACGCCTCTGCAGCGCTGCAAGCCGCATAGTGAGATGGACCAACGGCCGGTTTACGGTTCAGTCGCAAGATAAGGTACGGTTGCCCCTGCAGCTGGTGGTGGTCATACTCCGCCTCGCCCGTCATTTGAAAGGGTCACTGCCTGCAACGCAGGCATACGCACGCAGAAAGAAGAAGGATTAAAAAAAAAAAGAGATGGATGCATCAACTCAACGACAAACACACATACACACACACGCATATACATTGCAAGGGCGTACACTCATACATACACATATCGATACACATACACAGATAGACGTTTATGCGTCTGAAGATGTAGTGCAGCAAGTCACGGTAGTCGCTCGCTGCCGTTCCCCGCTGTTCCTCCCCACCCTCCGCACCACCAACGGTGCCCAAACACGCACCAACCCTCACCACCCCATCCTAAAAATAGTGTGTATAGATGTATGCATGTATATGTATACGCATAAACGCGCGTCAGTTACGTTGCTGCTGCCGCTTTTTGATGGAAAAGGACATGGCGCAGGCGCAGGATTCGTCGACCAGCTCATTTCCGACGACCACAAAGGCGGACCCCTTGAGCTCGGAGTGAAAGTCAATCACGGCCGCCTGCAGCTTCGTCAGCGAGTACTTGTCGACCACCACGCGTGGTGACGGCTGCGCCCCACTGCTGTCTGCCGCGCCGGCGGGCACCACATCCGTCTCGGCTACGACAACGTCATCCTCCGGCACGAGTGCGGTGTTCTCTTCGAAGGAGAAGTTGTACTTGTAACCGTGACAGCCCCCCGAGTCAACCGCCAGTCGCAGAAAGCGCTGGTCGTTGGGGAAGCCCTCCTCCGCGTTCTTCTTGCAAATATGCCGCCAGACACGGCCAGACACGGAGAAGTTGTGTCCGTACACCGCAGATAGGGGCGGAACGCAAAACAACAGGTACGACCGCCGAAGCATGTCTATTGTTCACGTAGAAGAATCGTCCGTGGCTTACCTCACGGTGTGGCAACTGAAACTAATGCGTCGGACAGATCTTTGTGCGTGTGGATGTGGGTGAGTGGATAAATGAATCAACGAGTCGAGAGGCCGCGCTGAAAGAGTCCACCGCTGATGCCGCCGCTGTCGCTGCCGCTCTCTCTCTCTTTTCGTGCTTTTTTTGACTGAGGTTGTGGGTGTGACGGGAAGACGGCCGCGGAGCCCAAAGGAGGAGTGCAAAAGAAAAACAGCAAACGTCACAACGAAGGCCTTCGCACCCCACAATTCTTCTGCTCCCACGCACAGGGCACGTGCCCGACACCCACGACGGTCCGCCGCCTCTGTTTGGGACGCAGTTACATATCCATAAATAGGTATGTATATTTAATTAACGTATTCATTTCAATTTACTGGAAGCGCAGACGCGGTGCATGCGACCAAAAAAAAACAAAAAAAAAGGAGAAAAAACGACACGTTATGACGTTTCCTCGGCGTCCTGCCACCACGCCGCTTCATCCCCAAGCTGCTACGCCCTTACTTCCTTACTACCATCCTCACACACTGTGGCCCCCCGCGCACAGGTGCCACCCTTCCCTAGCTCTCCCCCCACCCCATACATGCACGCACGCACGCACTCTTCTGCCCCGCTCAATCCGTCTTGGCATGGGCGGCTGTGCGTTTCTCCATGATCGGCTCCACCACGAACGCCAGGAACAGCAGGAAGCCAAAAAACGAAAGGGCGAACACAATGGTGATTAAGAGCGCGTCCTCGTAACCCAGCATCTCGTGCACAAACTCCATCCCGGGCAAGCGCAGCAGGTACTCCGCCACGTCACCGATCAAAGTCATCTTCTCCCCCACCGCCTTGCCCTTCTCAACGTCGTCCAGAAAGGTGGCGATGATCTTCTGCTGTTCGCCGTCCAGTCGCCACGGCAGCTGCGTCTTGATGCCCTCAAAGTGGGGGGTGTGGCGACGCAGACGGTACACCTTGTCCCGCCGCGGGTCCACCACGACCACCGCCGGCAGCTCTTCCGGCTCAATGTGGTAGCGCATGCGCCAGACGGAACGGGAGCGTCCGTCGGCGTGCGCCAAGGAGATCCGGTGGCGTGGCTCTTCACCCCCCGCCGCAAGGGCGCGGGCCTCGTTGCGGTCCTGCACAACTGCCCGCAAGACGGGCATCATGGTGGTGTCGGTCTGCGCAAGCGGGCCGTCAGTGACGATGAGGCCCACATAGTGGTGGTTCAGGCCTGAGATCACCGAGAAAAGCCCCTGCGTCATCTCCTCCACGGCGCGAAAGCCGTGTTGTGTGACGAATGCCTCAAAAGACGGATGTATCGTGTACGCGCCCACTGCCTTTGCGGCTCCCTCGCCCTTGTCGGGGTCCACAAACCAGGACCCCCCCTCGTAGCACCGCGGCCGCCGGTACGCGTCCGTGCAAACGATGAACACCTCCCCGTCAGGGCCGGTGCCTTTACAGCTCCGCCCCGCCTCAATGACGGCAGCGTATGTCCTGCTCCCGCGCGTCTCCCAGTCCGCTGGTACGTCATCGCCGTAGATGACGCCAAAGCGGATGTTGCCCAATGAGGCGACCGCATCAACAGCAATGTTCCACTGCGCGTCTCGTGCCTCCGCCCGTCGCGGTCCTGAGACTGATGTGCCCTTCGCCGGCACGTACACAAACATCGGCACCCGCCCATCCGCCATCTGCGCCTCCACCTGGTGAAAGTGCAGCGGGTTTGACACGACGTCGGCGAACGAGCCTGCCTCTACGGAGCGTTGCAGGTAGATGCCAAACTGCACGAAGCTGTCCATGCTGTGGCCGCCGTGGAACCGGTGCCAGCGGTCCTGCTTGCCTGTCGTGTAAATAAACGTGGGATACTCATGGACGTCAAAGCGGGCGGCAAGCTCACGGTGCTTGACCGCGTTCACCACGGCAAACTGTGCGTGTGGCGTCCCGCTTTCGCTTAGCAGACGGCTGGAGTTGGCAAACTGCGGCAGGAGCGTCTTGCAGTGTGCACACCACGGGGCATAAAATAAAATAAACCACGGCTGCTTCCGCTGCTTCTCCCCACTTGGAAATACGGTGACATCAAAGCCCTCGCTGCTCAGCTCCATCACGTCGTCCCGGGCATCTGTGTCCAAATCCTCGAGACGCGCGTGCGACGGCACGGCGATGACAGATGCCGCAATGAGCAGCAGCAGAAGCAGTCTACATGTGCCCACCCTCGAAGCCGTCATGGGCATCATCATCATCAGAGCCGTGGCCGCTATGTCACTGCAGTGGCCCGTGTGTTTTTGTATGTATGTATGTATGTATGTGTGTGTGTGTTTTGAAAGGTGCGCGGATGTTAATTCCCCTGCCGCTTAATCTACTGTTGTGTCTGGCCTTTATTATCGCTAGCTTTGTCTCCTTCGCTTCCCGAACTCAACAACGCGGTATAATACGACAGTGACGTCAACGATGTGATATATATATATATATATATATATATGGAGAGAGAGATAGAGGGAGGAAAGAAAGAGAGGAAAAACAGTTACTGATGTTGCAAATCACGGTGGGGGTGCGGCGTTGGCGGCAGAAAGGGGGCTGGGCAGAGAGGCGGGTGGAAAACGACTGGCGACAAAGCCATCGCCCGGGGACGAGACGGTGCGGCAATATAGTATACATGCGAAGCAGGAACATGGCTTGGTACACAACGAGGGAAGATACGCAAAACAAAAAAAACAGGCAGAAGGGAACGTACTCACATTTACACCCTCACTCCATTCATGCATGCACACAGACAGACACATGTGTATGCCTGCGTCCGTGCGTGTGGATGAGCTACTAATCGCGGCGTCTGCCTCACTTCATAGAACTCCTGTAGATGCTCTCCAGGTACTCCTTGTCGTCGACGTAGCGCTGCAGACTCTCGCGAAGCGCCTCGGCAAAAGACGTTTTCGTCGTGAGTGAAAACAGTTTGACAGGCGCATACCGGGGTGGCGGCGGCGGCGGCGGCGGCGAGGAGGAGGCCTCCCGCGTCTCCCGCCGGCTCTTGTGCCGCGGCAGCTGGATCGAGGGCAGCTGATGGTACGTGCCGCCAAGGATGGAGGTCGGATGCGCCAGCGGGGCGCGTCCCCTGATGGTCTGGTAGAGGCTAATGTCGCGGTAGAACAACGCCAACCGCGCCGGTGAGTGCTCGTGCAACTCCCCACCTAGCGCTTCACTCGCCGGCTTCTCCTTCATAAAGTGGGGCGACACCTCCAGGAGCACGTCGTCCACGGCCAACCCCCCCCGGTACGTGGGCAGGCCCCCCCTTGAAGGTCGCTGTGTCCCACGCCGCACGAAGGGCGGCCAAAACCCCTCGAATAACTCGGCTCCCGGTGGCTCTGTTGGATGCACCACGGGCAGCAATCCTGTGCCGCGCTGCGGAGGAAGGGGCCGTGCAGCGGGCACACGTTCAAATCCCGTGGACTCCACGCTCTCCGACAAACTCGACGAGAGTGTTCCCGATATTTCGGCATCCTCGCGGGCACGACGGTGTTCGTCACGTCGCGCCTTTGCAGCAGCAATGGCGGCGGCCCTCGCTTGCTCGCGCAGAAGTTTCTCCTGCTGCTCGCGGCGGTGGCGTGCGTACGCCGTCTCTGGCGGCCGCCGCTGCGGCTGGGCGCGCAGTACGTCAAGAACACGCCCTTGCGCTGCAGCACTCACCGCGGCCCGCGGCAGCTCCTGGTCCCCAAACAATATATGGAAAAAGTCGGAGTCAGTCATATCCCCGGTCGCGTAGCCAGCCCCCTCCAGCAATCGCCGCAGCAGCACCTCATTAAAGGAGTTTTCGCCAAGTTGCAAGACATCCTCGTCTGAGAGGATGTCCCCACTAATGATGATACCCTTTGATTGCAGATTTCGCACAATTCTATCACGCCTCTCACTGATCTCTGCTGTCATGAGCACCAAAGGGCTGTAACGCTCTTCCTCCCGCTGCTTACGGCGCCGTAAACGCTCTCGGTGTGGTTTCGCCCGCTCATGCTGCCGCCGCGCAAGCGCGTCGGGCGACAGCTCACTGTCTGGCTGCGAATAGACCAAGCTCGACCCGATGCTCCAGGAGACCTCGCCACTACCCCGACCCTCGCCCTGCTTGTGTTCTCCTGCGTCTCTTCGCCCACCTGGTCTCTGCCTGCGACGGGCGCCGTCGGCATCCACAATGCCCGCCTCCCCCTCGTCAGCCTCACGGGAGCCGCCGGCGGAGCCATGGCGACGCCGACGCCGACGGGCCTTTTTACCGGAGGTTCGCTGAAGCTGCGGCTCCGTCAAATCGCCCGAGTGCACCGACGCGGAGTCGACGTCAGAGCCCGGCCAAGAGAGGCGTTTCCCCCCCTCCCCCTCCCTTTCCAACGTGTTGCGCCCGTACTGCTTGCGACCACCGCTGAGGTAAACTTTATGGCTCCCCTCGCTGCCCTTCTCCTCCTGTAGCTCCTCAGACTCCTCGTAGTCCTCCTGAACACCGCTGACGCCGTGGCGCTTCCTGCGTCGCCGTCGTGCGACCCGTCCCAAGCCCTCATCACGGCCAACGGAGTCCAACTCCGCACCGTCCACGCCTTTACCTTTATGACCCACTCTCCTTCGATTTCCCCGCCAGTCCAATCTCTTCGAGCCTGTTTCTTCCACTTCACTTTCGTTGTCATCGTCACGACCCTTGCGGCTGCGCCGGCGCAAGTCCGTGCTGCCTCTAAACGACCACGTGTGTTTGTCACGTTGTAGCCGGGAACCACGCCTCCCACTCTGCTCCTTGGACTTCCACGAGGACCGCGAGGAACGTGCGGACTGCGAGTGGCCCGCCGCCTTGCCAACTGTCCCCGGACGGGAGAAACCGGCTGCGGTAGAGCTCTCGTCACTGCTGGCGCCGGCGACAGGGGACGGTCGCCGTGAAATGATCGGAATGTTCGGTTGGTAGGCCGACCCCGAAGTGGAGTACTCGCCAATGGACCACATCATGTGGTTGAACTCGGAGAGCATGTGCAGACTCCTCTCCTCGTCTCCCATAATCGAAAGGAGATCCTCCTGCTGACGGGACTCGACGTTGGCGCGAAGCGTCTTCAGGAGATCCAATTCATCGTCATCCCACTCATGGGCAAACACCTCACAGTACAACTCCATCAAAAACGCGGCGTGCTCCATCGGATGCGAGCTGCTTGTCCAGTTGTCCGAGAGCTCGAGCATAGACTGCCAGAACTGCCCAAAGCTGATGTCTGGAAAGTCGGTGAGGGATGCGGAAAAGTTGTTCACGTCCGGGGCTACCTTTGACTTCCCCGCGATCTCCGCCAGCTGTGCAAGGGTGTCTTCGCCTCGGCAGTAGACGCTGCTGGTAGATGCCTCCAGGCCCACCAAATCATCCACGATGGTATCCTCGTTGACCCTGTTGCCGTACAACTCCGGTGCCCGTCCAAACAACAACCCGGCGTTGCTCTGGCTCAGCGTTGCATCCTTGCGAAGGTCCAAAATAATAGAGTCCAGAATCTCCGCCTGCAGCGAGGATGGCGGAAGCAAAATACCCGCAATGCGAAGGTGCAGGTAGACGTACTGCGAGGCGGTCATCCGTGTGGCGTACGTCAGACTGCTGCTCACCACACCAGTGGAGATGGAAGAGCTACTGCGGCCAAAGTAAAAGCGAGGGTTTAACTCGACTTCCCCCGGGGGCACTGTGATGCGCTCCCAGTAGCGGCAAATAACATCATTCACAAATTCGTTCGAAGCGATAGCACGCAACGCAATGCGACGGGGTTTCGAATTCCGAAGCATGACATCGTGGCAGGATGCCAACAGCTCCCAGTTGTTTCGCGTCAGCTGCTGCAGTGTGATGGACTTCGTGGAGCCTTCGATAGAGCCCACCCACGATGCACGCCGCGAGCTGCGTCGCCCCAGCACACTCCCACGCGATGTCGTGGTGCTCCCAAGCATGGATGTGACCCCTGTCATGCAATCACCAGACTGTCCTCCCTCCTCCTGAAGGGCGGCGCGCTGATTGTTGTAGTACAGCCGCGCCGCCATCGACACGGCCGGGTGGCGCAGAGATATGTTGCAGCGGTGAGTGAAGCTCGTCAGCCTGGGCCGCAGGATCATCACGTACTGCACAGCGTCCACCTCGGTGGTGGCAAGCTGCTTTCGCGCATCCGGCGGCACCGCCGTGCAGAAGCCGTGAAACAGTGACAGGACGAAGGTCCTGTCCACCGCGTAAAGGTCGTATTCATCCTCCAAGGACCTTGAATTCATCTCGCCCAACTCCCACCCCTTCTCACTCTCTCGCTTTCACATAGGCAGGGACAAAGAAGACAAAGCAAAAAAAAAAAAAATGAAAAGGAAAAAAAAAGGAAAGCGACAAAGCGTCAAAGAGAAAGAAGACACCGCCGTAACAACACAAGCGCAAGAAAGAGTGGGAGAACGCAAGAGAAGTGAGCAACAACAACAAACAAAAGCAAAAAAAGGGGGGGAAAGAGGAGGGAGGGCAGGGGGAAACGGCTCTGCGGCGGGTAGGCGCAACCCCACAGAATCAGCCTGCTACACACAACGAAAACACATAAACTCGCGTGCATTGCTATCCCTGTGCATCCCCTCTGTGTCATCCTGTCTTATCTGCCGCCCCTGCATGCATTCATTCCGCCCCTAATTCATTCTTCAGGTCCTTTTTTTTTCCTCTCGTTTCTTTTTTTTTCTTTTTCTTCTTTTTCAGTTTGTCTCCTCCTCTCTCTCTCTCTCTCTCTCTCTCTTAAACTCCATGGGCAACGTAGATGCGGTGGGCAGGGAGTAGGTGGGGAGAAGGCGGGGCACCTCCCCTCTCCTTTCCTCTCCCCCTGCTGCCCCTGCAAGGACGCGCGCACATAGTCGGAAGATGGCCCAGGCGCAGCAAAAAACAAAAAGAAAAAAAACGTGAAGGCTGAGGGGCTAAATAGCATCACACAAACAAAATAGTTGTGTAATGTAGACAGGGAGGGAGACACACCGATCTCCGGAGCAGAGGTGGGGCTGGAAACGGCGCTGAAAAAAGCGGGGCAGGAAATGAGGGCAAAAGCAGGGGATACAAAAGATGAAGATTCACTGAAAACGAAAACCCCCAAAAAAAAGCACACACACAGATATATATATATATTATACATACATATTATGTAGGATACACAAGAAATTAGGGGAAAGAAAGTAGGGGGAGGGGGATAGAATGATGTTATCAGCTCTTCTCCGTGCGTACCACCTCACTTCACATACCGTTCACCTGTTTTCCCCGCGCCACGGCTGTGGCGGATGTCTGGGCTGGCCGCCTGCCTGCTTGTTCCCTGTCATCCCTCGCAGAGGAGTCTTGCTTCAGCCTCCCCCCATTTACCCTTCATTTTCATCCTTTCTTATTCCTCTTTTCTTCCTTTGTGCTTACCTCTTAGACGTATTTTCTTCGCGGCTTGCTACCTTGGTGTCTTACGCTCTGGAGACTCCCTCAGGGCCGAGTGCTGCTCCCGCACACGCACACAACTTTCCCTCTCTGTATGCCCGACCGCCATGTGTATGTGCAACTTCGGCGGCGCGGGCCCCTTTCTGTTCCTCCGCTTCATCGCCACTCAGCTGAAGCTGCCACATCACCTGCCTGTACCACCCACCCACCCACCCACCCACCCCCCGTTTCTTGTCATTGTTTTTTGCGAGTAACGGGGAAAGGGCCCAGATTGTGTGTTTTCCCCTTTTTTTCCTTTTTTATACTTTTTTTTTCGTCTGTGATTCGTTTGTTTTCGTCCATAACATTCTCTTCCTCCTCCCGCCTCTGCTTCCCCCAATGTCCTTTGTTTTGTTTTGATTGTTGTTCTTTTTTCTTTTCTCTTCGTTTTCTTCGCAGTCCTCCTCACAGGCGCGTTGCGTTTCCTCCGTGTTTTTTTGTGTTTTTTTGTTGTTTTTCTTTCGCGTCGGTGAGTTTTGGTTTTTGTCCTTTTTCTTTTTTCTCTCTCAGTGTGTGTTTTTGTCTGAGTTTTCTGTTTTACTTATTTTTATTTTTGTCGCAGGCGAAGGGAGGAGTAAAGAAGAAAAGAGAGGATGGAGGGGGTGTCAGTTCCTCCCGCAGCAATTCCCCGCCCTCCACGCCCTCTTCTTCCCCCCCCCCCCCCCACACACACAC